TTTCCACCTGTTCCCACTCCCCTGTCCTGTGTCAGTTCGTCTTGTTTGTTTCCCCGAATGGTCGTAACAAGCCTCAGCTAAGAAAAGATCGCTTTCACTCATGTCAGGTTTTGTCAATTTTGAATGCTTAAGTTTCGTTCTTCAGTTCTCTTTTTGTTATGCATAGTTTTTCCTCCTTGTGAGTGCATTTGGGTCCATCAGTTTGTGTCGAGGTCCTGACAAGTAGGGGGTTATATATAGAAAGAGAGATTGTAGGTTTTAACCCTGTCTCCTATAAAAACATTTGGACGTAAACATGGTTGCCGTTTTTAAAAAACGAATTGACTTTCTAAATTGAGAACAAACTAAATAATAAGGCAACAAAATGACTTAGTGAGGTTCAGTTCATCTTCATGGTTAGGCTCAAAATATTACATTTATTACATTATTGATGTTACGTAAGATAAATATAGCTTCTGGGACACAAACAGTGGTCTATTCGTAATGTTTTTTGCCAATGCCGTTTTCATTGAATGGAAATAACTTTTCTAAGAGACTACTTAAAATAAAGAGTGAGCTATTTAAAGAAAGGCATTTAGCAGAGTGACTGCACTGCAGCTTCTCTTGAGGGTGACCAATTCAGTAAATCCCCATCCACTTTGCTGTCTCTGTAAACGTTACCTGCAAATGTTCAAAAGGCAGGCTGGCTGCAAACAGTGTTTTTGTATTCCGAGCGTGTGTATACATGTTACTATGGTATGTTTAGCAGATAATTGGTTCACTACAAAGAAATAAGAATGTCACGGCTTTGAGCCAATGAAAGTACAACACATTTGCAATTTCTTAACGGGTAATACAGCGTTTTGAATATTCCTGTAAACACTTTCCTGTAAAAAAGGAAATTAAGTTTATAATTCTCTGGAAAACATGTTTTTTTTTAATGCAAATAACTAGATAGGATAGGGCTGCTAATACTACACAGAAAGAACATTTGGTTCCAAGGACTTGACGTTTAGTTGAGATATAACATTTATAATACATGTTGCAAATAAGGCTTTTCAATAGCAACTTCAACCCTATCCAGTACAAAATAAGCAATTTGCTAGGCTTAGAATACACAAACTACGAAAAATTCATAAATAAAAAAGCATGGAGTATAGCTAAAGAATTTGGCATGAAGTTTCCACATGAGTGTTTCCAAGGAAACCCAAAACATGATTAGGGAGTTCTTGGTTAGTTGGTATGACCCACTGTTAGGGAGTTTTATCTGAGACCAGGAAGAGGAGACACCTGTCAATCAAGGCCAAATCATCCACAAAATCACCTCTTCCAGCCTTCGTAATGTAAACAACAGAGGAATATGTCTTCTTATTGCTGTAATTACCAAAGGCTCATTTACAGGAAGTGAAATCAACTATTCTGACCATCATGTGTGAACATTGATTACAGTATAAAGGGGTTTCCGCATTTGCATTAAAAGCAACTTGTAGCTGCACCTTAAGAGATTTCCTTATTGAATTGGACATTCAGTCGAGGTGTTTGCCACTTAACTCCCATAAATCACTATTTTAACAAAGCCAAGTGTTGGTGTTTGTAAATGGGACCCAATGCAGTTAAATTACTAATTGGACTTTGCCCCAGTCTATAGAGACGTTAAGTCAGACTTCAAGAAGGTGTAATAAATCAGAAAATAAACAGTTCAGTATGATTAATGTAGCTTATAATGAACGGGGTGCAGAGGCCTGAAAACGAGGGGTGTATTGTTTGTCACTTGGCGAGTCACATGACTTAGGGATTAACCGAGTCCTCCATCATATGCTTTGACTCTGTCTGATAACACTGCAGCCCAATCCTCCTCTGTGTGGAGTTAATAAACCTGCTGTGCAGACAGACACAGGGCATTACGGCTCAATATAACTTCTGCACGCTTGAGGGGATCTTCACTTGGGCTGTCTACTCTACAGGCGACACTACACACTCATCATCTGGGAAATATGGGCAGTTTTCGTTGAAAGAAGTCAAGAAATAACTGCAGATAAAAAGTCAAATGGCATATTGATTTGTCTTCGTTAATCTATACTAAGGTGAGCAGACGTCTCAAGAATATTCCACACAGTTCCTAGTTACAAGCAGTGGTCCTGAATTCCTAAACATGTGCTTCGATCAGTTATAGTCTAAAAAAACAATGGTTTTGAAACAGTGTGTTGGTTTTGGCCAAGGACAAGCTTTTAGTTCTAAATAAATTATGGCTTTTTTTCGGACAATAGTACCCCTATTGATTGATTGATTGATTGACAGCTACGTAAAGCAACAAAGGTGGCAAATAGACGCAACAATGTTGAATTCAAACAGTTCCAATAGAAATCAAGCCACCCATTGCTGAAATGGAGGCCCAACACTTTGAACGTCAAAAAGCAAAAACCTTACTGCTCGGAGGGAAATATTTTGCACACTCCTATTTGTTCCGCCTCACCAGGTTGCTCCCAATTATTTGATCTGATTACCGCGATCATGTTATGTCAGTCTGCATCACCGTGTTGAAAGCCAGAGGGAACACGATGATAATTTCAACCCCTTGCTGAAATTGGTTGGATATTAGAAACTCTCTCTGCATCGCCGGGGGCGACAGGTTGTTTTCTCTGAACCGGTGCTCACTTAATGCTTACGATATCCGCTTCATGATAGCTCACACATACTCAAAAAGACAAGGCGAGCTCAGCAAAGTGCCACTTTGAATCAGCGGGGAATGAAGGGGGTCCGGGGCCGAGGCAAGGTGCAACTCAACTCCTCTCCAGAGTCCCGGAAGATTACTGTAATGTCATGCATGTCTGATGTTGTTACATTTCACGTCAGCTGATCCTTCAAATGTAGCAGCAAACACTGCAGAAAGCCTGCGTCTCGAGCATGAACATGTAAATACATATGGCGTTTAAACTTGAGGTGGATACCTCTATTACTTGTACATCAGTATAATTTTTTTAAGTTGTGAATGTTTGCAGAATAAGCTATTACCAAGTTCTCTATGCACCCATGGGTGTACAAACAACTTCCACTGTGTTGCTTTGATAATGAGGAAACGTTAAAAGCTTTTTCTGGCTTTTTTTCTGATTTACAATGATTTATGTTTACCCTCAAAGTCACAAAATGGCTAGGGTTAGTAAACAGTCAAAATACGACAGTGGAAAAAATTTGGAGCTTTATTTAGTTTTCGTCGAGTTACATTCAGCCACGTTAATTGACCGTTTCTGCCAATGCTGGCTTTGAGGAGAGTAGATCAATTGAATGTTTTGTACACTAATCAGTTATAATCATTCCCCAAATCCCTGTGTATCTATCCACTTTAACGTGCGTCATAGTCTCAACTCTCCCTCCTCTTATGTCGTCAGGGACAAGGGTTGCTTGAGTAGATGATATATAAAGGTCGAAAGTAAGTATTACTGTGGAAGTGTTCGTCGTCTTTAGTCGTAGGGTTCCCAGCTGGAGAGAGACTTATTAACTGATCCTCTGATTGTGTATTTAATCTCCAAGCAAAGGACGAGAACAGAATGCACTAATTAAGTTCCAGTTTTTAAAAAAAAAAGCCTAAATCTCTAAAAAACAGCTGTTTCCAGCTTCTCAAATTCTCTCTTGGTATAAAATGTAAATTCTGACACTGTCTGCAGAACAAAACAAGCACATTTAAGATATCACCTCGGGCTATGCAAAACTGATGGGGAATTTCCAACTTATTTTTCAACCTTTTTATAGAAAAGAACTTCTAATGTGAAACGTCTCTGCATCATATTGCATTTAAACTCATTGTTTTTTATGCTCAGTACTCTCCACTTACACAATGTACAAATATGTATAAATGCTTATTTTCATTTACAAACGTAGACCTATTTTGATCAAAACAAATATTAAAGGCATGTATCAGTAGCAAAGTGCATGAACAATTATCAATACGAAATTTCCCGTATTTTGATTTTAAAACCGAATTTCTTTAGTGTTTCATACTCTCATCTAACATAGAAACATATATTAATATATTTACTTGACATTTTTCTATTCATTGATTCCACAAGTGGTTTAATATCCTGCCCATCACATCTGGGAGAGGAATCCAGCTGCATGAACGGAGACGGTAGAGGAAAATGTCCACTGAGGATTAAGGTTGCAGAGGGAATGAGGCTTCTCTCTGTCACGGGGTCATTTCTCTTGGTCAAACACCTCACACACCCCTCATTGGTTGATGGCTCTAGAGAATACACTGCTGCAGCCGTCTCCTGTATAAGGTAAATAAAAGTAATGCAGCACAGAAGGAGGAACGGCTGTGAATAATTTAGTGGGGGGAAGATTTGAAATTGTTCTCGATACTGCAGCAGCGGCAGGGAGAAAACATTAAAAAAGAAAACTCACGCCCACGTTCAGTATAGACCTCATTACCTAATCATTTCCCAGTGGTGTCCCGGAGACAAAGCTGGGAAGGCCTTATCTCCTCTGGTGTTGTGCTGGGTTTAATCCCTTTAATGGGAATTCAGCATTTAGACACTTTATTGCATGCAAAATCCACATTATTGTGGCATATTAGGATGGCTGGAGATTGATTTCTCGTAATGAGGCGGAGGAACTTTAAACAGCTCCTGTTTGCAAAATAATTTAACATCACAACACTTAAATCATGCAGGGGGTAAAATAAAAATGAGAATCTGTCATGGTTAGAAGGTAGAGCAGCTTTTTAGTTGCCTTACAAATTCAACATCTGAGGTCAAATTACATGATGGTGTACTGATTACATTTTTAAGCAGGCAATCACTCAAAGGTGGCAGCTTGTAATTAGAAGCAAACAACATATTTAAGGTGGAATTAATGCATGCTTTTTTACCAGAAGATGGGTGATTTATTTTGTAGGACTTGTTTTAAACATTTCACTGCAGACAGGTTATTTAGAAAGGATGACAGTTTTAACAGAACAACACCTTTTTCAACCCCTTCTGTTCAAAACCTCAGCTCGCATTATTCATGGTATATAAAAAAAATACCTTTGACTCCTCTGCTCGCTCTGGGGAGGACTGAGACATTCTTGCAGCTGTTATTATAGTCAGTAACTTCCATGGTGAGGTTCCCCTGCTCCGCGCAGCACGCAGACACCTCCCCGGGCAGCACGCTCACATTCCCCGCCTGTAGAGCCATCCTCTCCGGTGACAGGGACGATAAATACCCGCTGCCTCAAACTGGAGCCGCGCTGGAATCAACTTGGAGTCGCCGTATCTTTTTAGTTCATAACAGCCGGAGAGGGGGCGTTGTGAAAACTTGGAAAAAGCCCAAAACTGGAGTTGAGTGATTAGAACAATGTAACAACGTGGAATAAACGGAGAATAACAGGTCCGTGCAGAAGTTCATTAACGTGCTTAGATGAAGCGCCGCGACGCGCGCACTGCACCGGACTGAAGCTGTGGAGGAATGAAGCTGCGCTGCTAGGGCAACCCTCTCTCTCTCTCTCTCTCTCTCCCACACCCCCCTCTCCCTCTCTCTCCCACACCCTCCTCTCCCTCTCTCTCCCACACCCTCCTCTCCCTCTCTCTGTCCCTGTACAGTTCAGTCACAGCAGAGAGGTGATACAGAATGTAACTAAGTAAATGTACTCTTCTCTCGTGTAACATCAGAGACAGATTTGATGAAATTATGGAGATGTAGACACTTTGAGGATTAATTGCATTTTGCACACGTTTAATTGGGTCGTTTAAAAAAAATATTATTATTTAATTATTGTTCCATATGTTGTTGTTTTTACTCAATTACATTTGCATTACCCATTTAGCAGTTTAATGTTATCAAAACCAAATATAAATTCTGATATATTATTATATATTATTTGTAGGCTAAGCAACCTAGTATAAAGGAACCCCACCTTTATCAATTGCAACATTCAAGTGATGAACTAATAATGCCTAATAATTGCAATACAATAGTTAAATATGACATTTTGAATGCAGGATTGAGTATTTTTCTTTGTAATGCTACTTGCTTCCACCTCTGCATGAATAAGCTTCTTATATGCAAGGTGGGGGGACTTCAGGTTCACGAAGTGACAGTGGAGATCAAATATAAACTGATTATGTTGCAGTTGCTTTAGCAGTGGGAGAAGAGAGGTTAGTAGGGACAAATTCCCATCTTTTATCGTTTTGAGTTCATTCTCAAGAGTTTATTTTCTGTCTGTATGACTGAAATCATGTCAGCCATCCACTTTCTGGAGGGAAGGGGCAGAGGGTTAAATACATTGCCTCAAGGTGAGCGTTTTGTCGAAAGGCTTCGAGTACTGTTGCACGACTGTAGCAAGGTAAAGAAAGGTTTGTGAGCAGTCCAGGATCCAATTCAAAAACCAATTTACTGTGGGTTCACTTGATTAAGCCGTTTGGCAGTTGCTTTTCGTGAAAGAGCTGCAAAACACACTTCACACTATCTGAACAGCACCATACAGCAGTTAGCAGCTAGTTTCAGACAGAAAGACATGCAATCAGAAACCACATTGAAGAAATACTCAACCAGTCGCGTATTCAAAATCCTTTTTAGATTTGAGACATTCTAAGTATTCTAGTATTTTATTTGTAATGTTAAAAAGTTGTTCTTCAGAAAATGCCCTTAAAATAGAAAAACTCAAGTAAAATTCAAGTACTTTAAAGTTTTAGATAGATACCTCGCTCCACTGCACCCTCGCTGTTTTATATTTAGGATACACGTCAGTGTCCAACCCCTCAGGGCCCCAAAAACGCCTACAAAGGTTTCCTCTTTTCATGGATTAATAGATTGTGCTGCTGGGGTATAAATCAAGTGTGAGTGAGTGTGTTGAAATACATTTGGTGTGGGGGAGCTTTGGGGGATGTAATTGCATATTCCAAACCACTTAAGACTCTCAAGAGCTATAGGAAATTATTTATTAGGAACAACCCCCTACGTTTTTTCAGTTTTTTTTGGACAAAACTTAGATTGCTAAAGACACAATATTGTACTTATTGAGATAATATGATAATTATACAAACAAAACCCCCCATAAAACCCTTTGTGAGTTGTTAAGTGTGTGAAGATGCAAGCGATAGAAGTGAACAGTGGAAAACAGAAGGGAAATATATATACTTAAAATGTAAGGGGACACGATGTGGACAAAAGGTGCTACCAACGAAAGAATGTCACCTAGAGTGCAATACAAGCTTAGACAAGCCCTTCCTGCTATTGAAGTCTCCTTGGTGAAAGTCCCATGTTTTTTTGACCCACCGCTCCACCCAGACCTCCCCCTACGACTGCGGTCTTTAATTAGTATCGTATTTGTTCTAGGTGGTCGTCAAAATGTAATCCAAGAGAAAATACGTTTCCCCAAAATGTATTTGACCCTTGTATAGGAAGGTGACTCTGAGGAGGCTGCCCTTGCTCAATTACAGCACCAGTGTCACTGGTTTTGTCAGAAATCCTTTTTCAAGAAATGGTCTCAATTTCATGTTCCATTTCAGCGGCTCGATAACGGAGCAATCTCTACTTCTCCGGGATGGATGCTGGATGTCAGAGGGGATCATCAGTGGGAAAAAGAGCAGCAATTCTGCAAGAGTAGAGGTGAGTACCAGATGTCTTTTCCTAAAGTGTCTTGTGACAATTTTAGCACAGAATTAGATATTGTACAACCTGTGTTTTTGTTGAGGGTCTGCTTCTGTTTCAAATTATTAGTTTTAAACTTGAGAATGTCTTGGAGATTGTATGTGGCCTGTGGAACAGCTGTTTCCTTTTTTTTTCTTTTTTTTACTATTTGGCTGACCCGCAGTAGCAAAGGGGGAGGTTATGGGACTCCTGATGAGCAGCGTGATGGCTTTGTTTATGTGGAAACGATCTGAAAGTGCCTTGAGGTTTAGTTCATGTGTTACCGCTTGAGAAATGATACAGATGCTTTGAAAAATGTTTGGAGGCTGCGGGGGAGTGAGGTTGCACAGCGGAGGAGAAGGGCTTCACTTTTTGTGTTTGTGATTTGTTTGATGGCTGCTGTCAGTCCTGCTGAGGCTTTAACAAATGTTGCTACTGCTGTTGTTACTGCTTTTGTTGTGTGTGTGTGTGTGTGTGTGTGTGTGTGTGTGTGTGTGTGTGTGTGTGTGTGTGTGTGTGTGTGTGTGTGTGTGTGTGTGTGTTGCTCCAGCTTGGCTAACATGTGCTGCTGTTTCTTCCACGTTTTTGAAGATAACAGCTTATTAAAGCGATGCCAGAAGTCGCTCCCTTCTGCTTCCTCTGAAGCCTCCAATGTTGTTTGGCAAGTTTGGCCGCCACTTCACGTTGATTTCTTTCACTGTGTCTGCACACAGATCATGACTAGCAAGTCCGATGAGATAAGGAACTGAAATCCCTGCAAAAGTCAGCCCATATGAAGCAATAATGCTAGCAATTTGCAAAAAAGGAATATCAGCCCGAGCATTTTAAGAATTTAAAGTGGCACAGGAAAGCTCAGTCTGCTATTTTTGCTCAAGCTAGAAACAGGATCATTTAAACTTGACTGTTCAAATAATTGCTTGCTGCATCGGCAGTGGAATGGTGCATGATTATTATATTGTTTTAACCACTTTTTCACACTAATAACATACATGAACTTTAAAATGTGTGGACATGTCCATAGTGAATGCACATTGCCTTATGATGTCAAATGACTGACTAACTGATTCTACGTAACTACATAATTCTGGAACAAGTATTAATACTCTGTAATTGTAACTTGTAGATTACCAATTTTCAGTAAACATACAATTTGTCATACATTTGACACTAATGGGTATAATAACCTTGTATCAATGGTACTTATCAAATTAGTATTGGTCTCGTGTGGCCTTTGAAAAGCAGGTCAATATTTTTCGTATGGGTTGTCTTAATCTGTCATCCGATAAAAATCGCTATGAATAGAATCCTAATGAATGTATGAAATTAGCAAGAAACTATTGTTTAACTGCCTAAGGCGCAACCACTATAGGCAAGGCAACGCAATTTTATAGCACTTTTCAGCACGTGGCGATTCAAAGTGCTTTAGAAAATAAAAACAAAAGACATTTAAGAACAAATACAGTATAAATACATAATTAAATGGCATTTAAAAACAGGCATAAAAAGCAAAGACAATGAAATTAAATAAATAAATAAACACAGCAGGTACAGAATACATGACTAAAAGGCATACTGTATTGTGAGTATGAGCAGCTCAATTAAAAGCAGCGGCAAATAGATGCGTTTTTAGTCTGGATTTGAAAATCGGAAGTGTTTCAGCGGACGTGCACGATTTGGGCAGTTTGTTCCAAATTGTTGGGGCATAATAACTAGAAGCTGCTTTTCCATGTTTAGTTGTTATTCTCGGAACAGAGAGCAGACCCGACCCAGAAGACCTGAGACTCCTGGATGCTTCATAATGATGGAGTAGGTCGTCTATATACCTCGGTCCTAAGCCATTTAGTGATTTAAAAACTAGCAGTAGTATTTTAAAATCAATTCTTTGGTCGACTGGAAGCCAGTGTAATGATCTCAGAACCGGAGTGATGTGATCCACTTTTCTAGTGTCAGTGAGAACTCGAGCAGCAGCGTTCTGAATCAGCTGCAGTTTTCTGATAGATCTTTTAGTGAGCCCTGTGAATACACTAATGCAGTAGTCGAGTCTACTGAAAATAAAAGCATTGACACGTTTTTCTAAATCCTGTTTAACATTAGTGTTTTAATCCTTGATATATTCTTCAGGTGATAGTATGCAGATCTAATAACTGTTATAATGTGACTGTTAAAATTCACAGGTCTGAGTCCATCACTACACCCATATGTCTTGCTTTGTGAGTTACTTTGTAGTGTGCCGACTGAAGCTCTGTGATAACTTTTAATCGTCCTTCTTTGCTCCGAAAACAATGATCTCAGTTTTTCTTTTGTTCAATTGGAGAAAGTTCTGAGTCATCCAGTCAGTGATGTGCTCAATGCACTTGCTCAGTGTTCTAATCGGAGAGTAGTCTCCCGGTGTAATTTTAAAATAAATCTGGGTGTCGTCTGTATAGATGTGATAGTTTAGATCGCTCTTTTTAATAATTTCAGCCAGAGGTNATACAATTGACCCCAAGGATAACAGGAGGCTTAATGTAAAACTTAGTATTAGACTCTCGTTTTATCTGATGGCATATAGACATAAACCCTTTGTTGTAATGGATTACACGGCTTGGTTAAATACTAGATTCTGATTGGTCAATTTGGACATTTCAGAGGTTGTTAATACTCAT